AACCACTAGCACTTCCACCACCAAGTCTACCACAACCACTACTACCACCAAGACCACCAGCACAACACCTACTTCATCTACTACAAAAACAACCAGCTCTACTACTTTAAGCCCCTGCACATGCGCTCCATGGGGCCAATGTGGAGGTGTGTAACAAAATCAGCTACTTATATACTAAACTAATCACTTTCTAGGCTCTGGGTATACCGGATGTTCCACTTGTCCCTCTGGCTCGACCTGCAAAGTCTCCAGCGACTATGTAAGTCCCCCTGGCTGTGTTTGACCTTGACTAATACCAATGAATACAGTATTCCCAATGCATCCCAAATTAAGGGATGGCTCGTCTCATGCTATAGTCTTTCTTTCTTCACGTGGTCTCGAATACCGGCCTGTAGGCACAATCCTGTAGCAGGTTTATATAGTCTTTCAGGTCAATTACTACCTTCTTTTCCTTTCATGGTGCTCGGAATGATGCGTCGTAAAGTTGTATTGCCAATTAGAGTCATTATTTCAGGCAACGTAGCCTAGCATGTAGCGACGAGTACAAGCACTCGTATCGTCCGCCGAGCCTCATTAGATGCGATTCCTGGTTTGTAAATTTATTTACAAGTCGTTGCAGACACAGATATTGAATGGTTCACTTTGGCTCTAACAAGATGGGACAAGGCGTAGGATGAAAAAAACAATAATCCAATTCATGAAACCAAGAACTATACAATACAATTGTACAACACACACACCCGTTTGCTCGTCTGTTAGATGTTAGTAAGGTCATACGGGTGAAATCGCTGCAGGAGATATTTAAAGCTAAAGTATCTGTCGCACGCAAGAGAAACTGTAGGTAATAGTAGCGAGAGCTCTTTTATGCCTTGGTAGAGGCGCGGCGACCTTTAGCAGCGGTCGAAGCGGCCCCAGATTCACGCTTGGTCTTGGCCGCGGCAGCGGTGACTTTAGTTGCCTTCTTCTTGCGTTCGGCAGTGGTGATACCAGCCTTCTTTGGTGCAGCAGGCTGGAAGCTTATTAGTATCAATCGCATTCAACGATGATAGCCTTACCTTGGCTGCCTTAGTGGCCTTGGTGGCAGGAGTCTTCTTGGTAGTCGAAGATTTTACATTCGTAGAAGCTTTCTTCAAGGGCTGACGAGATGGAGCAGCAGACGTGCCGGTAGCCTTATGCAAGTTAGGAACAGTGGCAAAGGAATATAATCAACTTACCTTCTTTGTGGGAGCAGCAGGTGCTTTCTTAGGGGCAGGAGTCTACGAGGCATGAGACGTGGATTCCGATGCAACGGAGCGTACACTCACCTTGACAGTCTTCGCGGCTTCCTTCTCCTTCTTTGCGTTGTTCTTGGCAACTTGTGCACGGCGTTGAGTAGACTTGGTGTTAGGGGCATTATTCTGAAAGGTCAAAGATGAGTATGTGATGTCCTTCTACGTTAAACTTGTGACAAACCTCTTTATCATGTGCAGCACCCTTGGCAAGTTTGACTTTGCCGCTGGCGCCCTTGGGCAACAAGAAGACGCCCTTCTTTTCGCCGTTGATGATCGCGCGGTTGATGTTGCTGACCGTCAGGCCATTCATTTCCAAGCCATAGCGGGATTCGATGAACTCTGTAGTTCAGAGAAGGGAAAATGGTAAGGTCAC